GGCCGGCCCAGCCCTAAACCACGACATACTGTCATAAAGGTTCATCTTAAGAACACTGGAAAGATGTCAGAGGACTACCCAGCACTGCAACATTCATTATGGAGTGACATCCTCCAGATTTTAGCCACAGATTAAGATCAAATACATGAGGAGCAAGGGAAGAGGCAAAACCACCACCTTGCATCCTTAAAAATGTCAAAGGATTGATTAAGATTGTGCCACTTGGTGGAAACATGATGCATTATTTTTCTATTGGTTTTATGAAAGATTCGAATGGAATCACCCATGATTACAACAGGGAGCTGCCTTGCTCAAAGCTGCACCAACAGTTAATAGGCTCTTAAAATAATGGTATCCACAAAACATGGTCAGATCAGTCTTTCTGACTATTTGTTTCCAGTTTCCAGCTGTTCAACTTTTCACAAGCCTTCAAACTGCTGTAAGTCATTGAACCGAAGAACATTTTCAGAATTAACTCCCCATGCTTCATTTGGGGGTGCCAGGAATACTACTGCATTTGAAAAAACCCAAACAACCGAACAACAACAAAAAAAAGCAAAAGAAAACAAAAAACCAAAACCAACCCCCAAACCAACCAACAAAAAAACCCAACACTAAACATACACCACAAACAACAAAACACCCCAAACCCAAACAAAACCCAAAATACAAAGAAACCCAAACACAACAGAAAAAAAACCCTCAAAAAAACCACCCTTCCCCCTGCAAAAAAAAAAGGGAAGAAGAAAAAAAGACAGTGAGCAAAACAGGCAGAGAAAGTAGTAGTACTGATCTTTTCCAAGCATGAAACAATGAGAAACTCATCATTACTGGTGATAGTGTCCAGATCCAAAAGCAGTATCGTGACAAGGAGCAAGTCATACACTTCATCTTTCTGTGAACTCCAGAAAGTCATTAACTATTAATAAATCACTTAATAGATTAAAGCTTTTTGAAGTTTTGTAGAACACACTTGCAAATTATTCTGACAGATACGGCTATCAAGCTTCCCTAAAAATCCACACCTTGGAATTCCCAAAACACAAGCCTCATAACTTTGTCAAACTTTGCTTTCAACTGTGTGACAGAACAAGTTGGTTATGGTTGTTTAACCAATTTGCTTTCATCATAATTGTATACAGGTCCACAACTCAGAGGGCTCTTTTATCTTCAGATTGTGCAAGAACTATAAAATAAAACAAAGCAAAACCTAGAGGGATCTACTGCTCTGTATTACAACATGCAGAGGATTAATCCAGATGAAAAAGACTTTAGTATCCATATATGCCTACCAACCCCTCTGGAAAAAAAGCCCAAGTGAAATTCAGAAAAATAGCATAAGGGAAGAGGCTTATGAACCCTGAAAGTTAAGAGATCCTCTTAATAATAACAACATAACACACATTATCATGCATCAAAAGGCTGTTGACACTGCACGTTAAGTATTTAAGTCCAAACAGGAAGGTACTCACGTATAACAATGACAATGTTGACTGTAAGCAATTTCTTCAAGGCTTACATCAGTATCTAGTGGAGGCCGGGTGCCATCCTAAAGGAGTTGAGATAATAAAAAGAAGAGAAGAAAACATTATTTTCTACACATGGAATCCCCAAAGTGATTTAAAAGTTTCATTGATTAAGTAACATGTAAGGGTCTGACAAATTACCTGAAATATCCACAAATACTAACATTGGTTTTTTAACCTCAAACTGACAAGAAGGACAACCAACCTTAAAAACATTTAATTATGAAATAATAAGTAATGCTAAATTTTATCTTCCCACCAACAGATGAGATTTTTCTCTAATGAAACGATGGGCAGCCTGCCACAGGGCAATGTCACACTGGCACTGTTCCATATGTGGACATACCATAAGTAGCTGGGTACATTGTTTAGCTCAACTTCCTCTAGTTTTACTATGGATTGAAATCAAATAGCTAAGCAATAAGCACTTAGATTTAGTGTTATCTCATCACCTTTAAGATGGAATTAATTGTATATCTTTTATGTTCTAGACATACATTTTCAAACTTAGATGTTTTCCATTCATAGACATTCCTGTAGCCTTTTTGACACTACTCTTCCATATTGTTACTGTTTCCTCCACAAAGATCCCAGAAGTAGTTTCTTTCGTTACTATTTTTGCATCTCCAACAGCAAAAAAAATATTGTACATCATAAATTACATTTGAAACTAGCTAACAAAATTTTCAAATACTGTAAACACAGATCTCCCTATTACCCTTAGGCAACAGTAAAGTAGTATGATGGTAGTACAGAGATTCTAGATCTCTACAGTATCAAACGATACCCAAGTTTAGACATGAAAGGACTCTTTTTAATAAAAATAGATATATTTCTGCTGGAAACTCATTTGACAGAAATGCACAAATTCATATAATTTTTTTCTGACTTCTTCAGGGGAACTAATATACCACATACCTACAATACCTTCAAGAGAGAAAAATAAAATCACACAGAATCACAGAATCGCTCGGTTGGAAAAGACCTCTGAGATCATCACGTCCAACCGCTCCTGTCTACCCCCTAAACCACATCCTTAAGTACCTCGTCTACCCGCTCTTTAAATACATCCAGTGATGGTGACTCCACCACCTCCCTGGGCAGCCTGCTCCAGCTTCTGACAACCCTCTCAGTAAAGAGCTTCCTCCTTATCTCTAACCTGAACCTCCCTTGGCACAGCTTGGTGCTGTTTCCCCTTGTTCTATCCTCCATCACCTGGGAGAAAAGACCAGCACCCACCTCTCTACAACCTCCCTTGAGGTAGTTGTAGGTGGTGATGAGGTGTCCCCTCAGCCTTCCCTTCTCCAGGCTGAACAACCCCAGTTCCCTCAGCCGCTCCTCATAAGGCTTGTTCTCCAGACCTCTCACCATACTTGTGGCTCTTCTCTGAACCCGCTCCAGAATCTCAACATCCTGCATCGTAACTGGCAAAAGTTAAAACCCTTGAATAGTTCACAGATAGCAGAATGAGCAGGGACTAGGCAGAGCGAGGGAGTAATCTTGAAACAATCTTTGGTAGAATACCAGCTAGAAAGGGGGAAAGAAAAACTCCAAGCCAAACCAAAAAGACAAAGACTGATTTTGAAATTTCTTGAAAGCAGAGAATTTAACCTGGAATCAAGGAAGCCTCATACAATTTCCTATGGGATACTTCAGGAACTGTACAAGACTGCAAGCCAGAGAGACACCTCTGCTAAAAATGTTTTATCTGTTGCTTTGAGTAGCAACACATGTTGAGCATTTTCGGAGTGGGACGATCTGCCTCCTCTGGAGACAAGCTCAGCAGTACGTGCACCAGAGAAGCTTCATACAGCTTGCAAGAATGTAAGTCCATGAGTAACTTAAACATGCAAAGACATGCTTCTCTTGCTTTGTTAATATGCAATTTGGAAATGACTGATCTGTACAAGTTAACTGAAATAAAACTCTTTCACAACAAAGCTTCAGTCTATGTTTAGGCTGTCTGTCTTTCATGCAACCTATTCCTCCCTCTGACTCCTTTTTCTACTCCTCATGCTAGTTTTGTAGGCATCCACTTTTTCCCTCAGCAGCGATTCCCAGTTTCCACATCCTGCGCATGTATTCCCTGGAGATTTCTGGGAATGCATAGCATCACCCAGAAGCCACTCACATCTGCACCAAACATTTTGTTTTATCTGGCCCTGAGCGCATATTTAAGCAAGTGTTCCTGTACACAGATTTTTCAAATTTCCTTACATAGAATACATGGATGAAGTGTGACAAAAAATAAAGCATTTCAATTTATTTAACATATTTTCTTCTCTCCATATTCCTTGTTCTCGCAGATAACTCCTATACATTTTAAAATAAAATAACAACCTATTTCTTGTTCTTTACACTAGAAATACACATCTTTGCCTAGCCTTACAAGAACTCTGGTGACTGCAGAAGTAGGGAAGTGAGAACAGCACCAGGCTCCTCATGGAATGAATGTGGAAACACACAAGGAAGAGACTCATTCAGAGAGTGTATCTCATTTCTGCTGGCCTCTTAATTAAGAGCTGAGGAAAAAAAAAATCCATTAAAAGACTTAACATCTCATTCACTACAAAGATTTGTTACCAAAATGTTAAGACCAGAATGAATTAAGAATGCATGGAAGTATCTAGCATTCCAAAAATAACATGCCCTGATAACCAAGGACAGGATCCAGAGGAACCAAGCTGGTAAACACTATGAATGTGTTGCTTATATCACAGGAAGGGCTGTAATCAGCGAAGGTCACAGCAAAGATGAAGGTCACAGCAAAGATGATTTGTTAGCAGGAGGCAAGCATGCTCTGACAACAGGCTGACAACAAGGTGACTGCATCACGCATGCCACTCCTCTTGGAGTTATCCCAACAGGAAGAGGCTGTAGCCACAAAGATTCCCAGAAGGAGGGAGCAAAGATGCTTTTCAGCAGCCTCGCCCAAGATTTATGGCAGCTGAAGTAAGCACAATTCTGAACTGTTTGATTCTTAAAGGGAACCTAGAAAACATTTCAAAGAACCAGTTTGTAATCGCCAGTCAAGAGGAAGCCAAGAGATGAAGTAAGGACTTGGAGATCCTTCTCCTTGGTGTTGCACACCCACGACTTGGATGCACACACCTTTGTGACCATAGGCAGCTGTGAGAGTGTGAGCAAATGAAATCTATGACAGTGCGAGAAATCAGTTTTGTTTAATACCATCCTCTCCCCCATGAAGCCTTGCACCAAGCTTTGCTGCACTTTCTTCCTACAGTGAAAGCAGTTGAGATAGTTACAAATCTCTACAGATTCTCCAAAAATTAGGACAAGCAAGGCTCAACACCTGCATGTTAAAAAAACTGAGCAGATGTAAACTCTAGCAGAATTCTGCTCTGTTTAGGCAGTCTAGTGACTAACCCTTACTACGTACTTCTTTCAGAAAAAGTATTAAATCAGAACAATCATATAAGCCAAATTTTTAAAGCACACTTTATCTTTAAAAATAAACTGGTAAAGTAAAAAAAAGTGTAATTTCTTACAGTATGTTTGAAAAATGACTCATCGATGTTACACCCAAATTCTCCCTAGGTCTTTTATAAGGCAACTGTTTTCAAGAACAGGATTGTATAAATTTTTACCTAAAATATTTTTATATAACTTAGAAACAATAATAAACTGATCTACTGCTAATAGCAAATGGGGGCATATTTACATTTTTTCCCCTCCAAGGTGTAATGCCTAGAACAAATGAAGGAAAGTCTAACATCCTGAATTCGTAATGAGGGCCCAACTTTTGAACAACTATTTTGGCATGAAAGGACGTGCTTCAATGAGTCCTCACTTTCTGAATTCTCCTGTGGGATTAACTATTGTCTACACCACAACTTCATGCATATGCAAGTCTGAATTATCTTTTTTTACAACTCTGCTAAATAATTTTTGCCACACTTTTCATAAGACAGTGCTACCTTTTCTCTATAGTGAAGATCTGGTCTCCTTTGCAGCTCTAAAAAATTCTAATAGGACATCTGTTCTTAACAATCAACCCTGATCTACTGGAAAAAGTAGGAAATATCTAAGTAATTCATAATGCTCTGTATGCTCTTTAAGGCCTTGATTACTGCTGTACCATATTTAGAGAAATACTCCAATACTCTCAGTGGCAGAATGTGCCATTAGCCACAGGGAGGTCCCATGAATGCAGGTATTTCACTTTTTCACATTTACTTTGACCTACAACAATCATCACAAGCTTCCTTTAAGCCTAAAGGCAATCAAGTGTCACAATTACTGCTGAGCAAATACAGCTCGAGCTAGTGAATCATTTTGGCGAATATATGGAACCCCACCAAAAAAAGCTTACAAAACACTTCTAGGCCCATTACTCACACAGATAGGAATCTTCCAATTAAATCTGCTCAAACTGTGACTATAAAGGCAGCAGTTTCTATGTTTAACAGGTTTTCCTTACAAGATTTATCAACTCCTTGCAGTCCTGGAACAAATTTAACTGCAGATGCGGCTGATTTTTATGACCTGATGTGTTTAGTGAGACAGGATTCTGCAATTCTCTGTAAAATTTACTTTGTATTAAATCATCCTTCCAAGCTTCAAAATATGGATTTACTTCCAAATACTCACTTTGGTGATGGTCTTTAAAATAGCAAGTCGATCTTCAGGTGGTGGCAAACCCACATAAAGTGTTTTATCCAGTCTACCAGGACGCAGGATAGCTGGGTCAATTATGTCTTAAAGAGAGAAGAAAAAAAAACCTGACAAAGTTATCCAGAAATGAGATAACACCCTTAGGAAAGCATACACATTAGAAGGAATATTATGCATACTTAGATTAAAAGAAGCATTTGTGCCATGATGTGATGCTCTGACCACTAAAATAGCTGATGCCTCTAGTACAAGTTAAGCCGCATCTGCTCAAAGATGGCTCATAAATACCAGTTTCATCTCTTCGCAAATGAAGACAACTCTGTCTTTGGCAATACAGCACTGGAACATTTTGATGTCATACCTAGTGTGGTCAAGTGAGGAATTACACATTAATTTATAAGGAGGGGAAAAGATGCTTCCAGGTTTTTTCTGTTGGAAGGAACTCTACCTGTATTAACCATTGTGAATCCGCTTGAAAGGCACAGTAATAAATTAAGAATAACAAGTACACATGGCCAATCATAAGCATCCGCATGTAAACTTAATTTTACCGGTCATTTGCACTTCTACTACATATTCATTTTCTGAATGGCAAAATAGGAAACCCACAAACACACAAAACAGAGCTGCAAAGTACAGAATTTGTTTCCCAGGAAGAACTACAGACTCCAAATTTTATTATGTGTGGAGAAGTAAAACCAAAAATCATCACAAACATCTCTAGATAACTAATCAAAACTTAAAAGTAATGGAGTCTACAAGCCTTTTAGTACCACAGGCTTCAACACTGAACTTTCACAATCAGTAAGTCAGGATAGAATTAGTAAGAACTACTGGTAAAACAACAGATACAAACAGGGCATATAACCTGGGAAAGACCTCAACTCTTGTCCATATTTCAGCACAAACTGCCTGGATAGTGTTTCTAAATTCCCCGTTTCCCCATTTACCAAAAACGATGATGGTATTACTTGCTCTGTTTCACTGAGGGATTCTAACAGTCCATATGCTACATGCTACAGTAATGTGAACGGCAAAGTCACAACAGCACCCTCAGAAGATAAAGTAAACTGCACTTTTAGTATAACAGACTTTTTTGAAGTCTGTGAATTCCATAGATGTGTTAGGTAGCTGTTGCACGAACCCTGTCGAAAAGTACCAGTTGAAAGTCACACTTAAGCTGGAAACTATCGAGGACTCCAAATGAAGCTGTCAACACCTTTACAATCACTACATCCTCTTACAAAACATAACTACACACATTCACATATATTAAAGGTGAAGAAATGGGAAAAGTTAAGCTGTTAATCCTTACTGTACAGATGTTTCAAACAAAAAAAGCCCAGCCAAACCCCAAAACAGCAGCATGGAAGCACAGCTTTCTCTTTTCTGCAAATGAAAGAAGTTTGCTTAACTCTGTCAAGACTCCAGCTACCAGATCCTACCACAACAGAGTCTTGACTCACTTTTTAAATATGTGCATAATTTTGTTCAAGTTACGTTCTCCCCTGTGCTTAAAGGGCAAAAAGTAGAATGAGATGCATACACTAAAAATTGCTCCACTATCTTTTCCTTGGAGAAAAGCAATTTTTTTCCCCCCAAGATACAACAGTCATGGCCAGAGGCATCTACGTAGGCAGAAATCAGCTAGTGTAAATACAACAAGAATGGTAAGGAAAAAAGGAAGAACTTGATGCATTAACTTAATCCAGACCAGATTAAACAAGGGTTAAACTGGATCCCTGTCATGAGAGACCTAGACAAAAAACATCTCTCTTGTACATCTGTGCACAGTTCTATATGATACTTTATCTTGCTCTTGACATAAGTGTACTTTCTTGTTTTTGTATTTCTGTGGACAGAAGTCTTGCCACATTATTAAAATGAGATGACAAAATGCACTCAACAGATCAATTACAAACATCAAAACAAACACTCTTAATAGGGACTGCATTACAACATCGTGCACTTGATAACTTCCCCATTCTAAAGTTTCAAAAGCTCTTTAAAAACATTAAGCTTGATATGGAAAATATGGTTTCCATTTTGAATGCTGAGAACATGGCCCTCGCCACGCTATTTGTCCAATGACGCAAAGTTAACAATCTGGTCTAAAGATGCATTCATCCATTTGTATGTAAATGATTACATTGCCCCAGAGCTCCAAACACAGATCTACACTCCCCATCTCCTTGTGAGTCAATTCACTTCAGCCTCCTGGTTCAGGCCCAGGCCCGAAGTTTTTATAAATTCAAGTCACTTACACAGAAATTAGTATTTACTCATTGGTCAAACTCACTCATTAGATGCACTTCATTTCTGTGTAAAGAATTGGAATAATGCTCCCATCTCAGAAATTTCATAAATCATAATATTCTCACCATATCTATTATCTTGTCTAAACAGAAGAGTCAACTAATTTTAGATACATTTAATATTTTAATGAAATTAAAATAGTTGTCATGGATACCTCTTTCAAAGCCTATCATGTCTCAAGTTTGAAAGTGAAACATGGAAACATAACACCAGTCATCTTATGGAAACTATACATTTCTATTAAGAGACATGTTTAGTTAGTAATTTTGTGTCCTGGTTTTCTGATCTTAGCAATGGTGTTGACTATTTCCTTTGAAGAAGCATTACCATTTTCCAGATAATTTGGCAAAATTGCATAAGATGACATTTAGAGTACATCTATTTTCAGAGGTTAAAACAAGCACTTGCCTCTAGAGAATTAAGTAATACTTCAGTTTACTACATTGCTCTCCAAACTACTGTAAAATTTTATCCTCTTCATTAAATTCTACTGAAAATATCTTTGCATGCATCCATATAATGTGACATTCTACTGTCCTATAATAAAATCTATTAGTCTCACACTCATTTCCAGTTGATTATTCGTGTCTTATCTCAGCTGTACAACAATGTTTATGGAAGTTCAGTGCATACCAGCAACAATGACCATTGTGCTGAGTCTGTCAAACTTCTCCTATACTCACTACAGCTTTTTAAATTATATTTGATCTATACGAGACCTAGGTCCTCACATTTGTCCTCACATTCCTTCACTGGAACACAGGCTTAGAGACTCTAGATTAATACTGCAGTTAACAACTTTGCTTCTACACAACAAACGATCTCCACTGAAGTTACTATGAAAGACGCACAACCTTCAAGGGCTGTTGAAGCAGAAATATAATTTGTGTGAATTAGGACTATGTTGAAAGAAGTTGTTCTACGCCTCACATATTAGGTGCTTTTCTTAGATCTTATCTTGCCTTTAATTCAGCAACATGTATAAACAGGTATAACCATAACAAACAAAAAAAACAACCAAACCAAACAACAACTGTAACTATTGTCAGAGACTGAAAGGAAGTTTTGGGGGGTTTTTTTGTGTGTGGTGTTTGGTTTTTTTTTGTTGTTGTTGTTTGTTTTTTTTTTTTTACTGTGTTTCAAAACATGTGGGTCAGGTGAACAGCTCTACAAAACTAACAAACTTGCTAAAGAAAAACAGAATTCACTGAAACTAGGACCATGCTCCAAGATAACCATAGAAGGGGAATTTTGAAAGAACTTAGTTTTAAAAGCTAGGAAGAAAGACCATGAATAAAAGTAAAGACATCATCACCAATTACATCAAGCTTAAATCACTACCAGTTTTAGTGTTTCATTGATTTCTTGTCTGTTTCCCCAGTTTACATACAGTTCCTTAGATCCCATATTAAATGCTGCTGATGCCTTGGTCACCACTTCTCTAAAAAGTTTGTAATGTCCAATGCCTGGGTAGGCAAGAAAAGAGCTGAAAACAGCACTCTCCAATACTGAAACTCACACTGGTAACTAGAAAATTGTGGGAAATTAGAGGCCTTGGGTAAGGTAACACTAGTGCTTAATAGTTTTGTAAGTATTCAGACTCAGATTTGGGGAAGTAAGTAGACTGAAAAAGAACAGAATTATTCTGACCCATAAAGTTTGTAACAGGACATGATATTTCTGCCTCTTTCCCCTCACTCCACCTCTCTTTTTAATGAGTGCTTTAAAATTTTAATCCTCTTCAGACAAAGTTTGACATTGGTCTTGCATTTAGGTGGAAAGAGATTGAGTTGGGAATACCACATCCCTGCTAATTTAGCAGTAGTCAAGAAAGATCTACAGAGGACTTTCAAAGTCACTGAGTAAGTGCAAAAAGCTGAAATATCCTGCTTTTAAGGACAGGCCAAAGGCTTATTTCAGCACTGCCAGAGAAAGAATTACCACCAGCAGACTGTATATGATAAACAAAGGAACAAATCTATTGTGCCTGCCCCTTTTGGTAAAAGCAGAATTAAGTGTGTTACAATTCCTTAAAGGCTATTATAAAAAATAGAATTTGGCAGTCTTCAGCCACAGGGTACATAAACCATCACCATTCCACAAAAAGCCCCAAACCCATCACCTCAGTGGAACGACTGTGCCAGGAACACACCTTAACACCAACACGGTTTGAGCCAGTGCTAACCTAATTGCTGGTACTATTATTCTTTATAATAATATTTTCATGAGAGAAGACTCTTCTTTTGGCACCATGCTCTCTGGGACTACAATGCTGACTGCACACACTAATAGTCATGAGTAGTAACAGCAACCAACTATAAAAGCTACCACGCATACAACTCCTCTAAAAAGGAAGCACCTTGCAAGGCCATTTTCTCACTTATTAAACTGTACTAACATGGATTTAAAAAGATGAGATATCACACTTCCTAACACTGGCTCAGTGGAAGACTTCAGGAAGTTCTGCTGGGACACATGTATTATTTAGATTTATATTACACAACCCCCCAGTACCTCTATTCAATATAGCTATGACAGAAAAATCTTTCATACAAACGTCAGGCTTATAAGCAAAAGAGCTTTTCCGGCACTACAACTTTTATTGTTTGCAGGAATACTTTAAATATATTAGCCAGAATAAACTGTGGTTCTTCTACAGGTCTCTGGCTTGGACATTTAGTTCTTAGGGCAGTAATAAGCGTACTTTACTAGTATAGACTGTTCTCTACCTGCAATGTCCTCCTATTAAAAACCCAGATCATACCAGCAAAATTTAATTTGGTGAACACTGCCCCTTCCTAAGCCCCATAAATAGCATATAAATTACACAAAAGAAAAATTGGTTTTCCCAATTTAACCACAACTTCAGTAAAAGTTGCTCTGATAAAAGCTGCACCAATTGGAAACTGTATTTCTTCACACTGACAGATACCACAGCAAAAGTTTGTAGTCTAAACCTATCCAAAATGTTATTCATACATGCAGCTGATAACTTCCTGAAGCCAAGAGATCCATCCTACCGAAACAGATGCACAGATAATTGCGTCCTCCAGCAAAAGCTGGACGTGCCAAGCTTTGCCATCCAGCAAAAAATATTTTGTCATGTTGGCAAAGTAACTCCTTTATCAAGATACAATCCGTATCCATTTAGAGAATTTACAGATACATTCATATCCTTCAATTTTATGATTATTATCCCTGCCTTGGCATTTTCTTTACATCTGGCATTTTTACCTCAAATTCACTTTTTTCATCAATGTCACTGGTTTGTAATACACTGCTGAGTTCATGCCTTACAGATTTCCCAGCTTCCCTCAAACATTATTTCAACCTTCATTACTCAGGAAAGTTTTGTAATATTCCTCTATAGCAAAACAGTACATCTACCACTGCAGCTGGACAAGGCAACAGTGACTTTTTAAAACTCAAAAAGAAAATCCCCAAACCATCACAGAGATACTTTAAACAAGCATAACACCAATCTGAAGTGGCACTGCAGGAAGTGAAGCTGGATGGTTCTGCAACTTCAGCAGGGTTGGAAATCACACCTCAAGCTACCAGGGACACTGACAAGTTTGCTGTCATCAGCAGTTATGTACAAAGCCCTTGAGAAAGGCTAACAAATAAGGCTGCTTGGTACATAGACTTGCACTAACATAGCTAATTTACTGAGAGATCTCTTTCCTAAGGCAACTTGATGACACTGGTATTAACACTCTTGGTACATCCAACTGTATCTATATATAGATGTGCTACATTGTATAACCTTATTCTCTTGCCTATATTGGATTAGATAGGTCAGAATCATCAAGCTTCTGCCAGGAAAAGTCACCACTTTAAAATCAAAGAATTTCCACAAGCACATACAGATTTAAGCATTTACAGCTTATACTTCACTACATAGAAAGCTTGACAGTCTGTCACGGTGCAAAGAATTCACGAGACATGAAAATTTTCCTCGAAGTCTTTGAAATTTTTGACCATTGGGAAAAACCAAAACCACCTCATAGTTGCCTATTTTAGGTGATTTCAGACCAAATTTTCTTTAATCTGCAGGACCCAAGCAATCTGTCAAGTATTTTAACTTTCTCATCTTCAAATTTATACCCAAAATAGCTATGCTACTGTTTTTCTCATTAAGCCATTTCTCATCAGAATTCTACATCTTGTCCTTACTTAATACATGCAGGTATGAAACAAACAGTGTCTTGTCGTTAACAGGTATTTGCCAAATACGTGCTCTAGGTGCAAAGGTTCTTTCCCAAGTTTCTTACCTATACCAGTATAGTTTTACCAAGATGAACTTGTAAAGCTGTATTTAATTTCAGTAGTCATATTCAGGAAAATGCTCATAACCAAGCAAGCACAACATCTTCATGCATGCTGCTTTCTATACTGACAACAAATTCCTTTATTTCTCACTCAGCACCTAGATGGAGTTCAAATTCAGGAAGTTTCTTGCTACATATAAAACATGAGACTTCTCCATAATACAAAAAAACCACATAGGGAGAAAGTTGGTTGTAAAACACAATGTTTGATTGAAAAGCCAGCAAGGGAGCACGAACAGCAGCCGACAGCAATGCTTAACAAGGAAATAGCAGAGTAAGTTCAGGCTGAGGGAATCAAGTTTGGAACATGAAGCCCAGGGACCAAAAGATAAGCAAATGGAAGAGTGATTTAACATCAGACAGACACCTCAAGGCAGGAAAACCCAACCAATCAACAAAACTACACAACAAAACAAACAAAAAAACCCAACACGCACAACATGCAACTATAAGGTTGCTTTGGATAGAAAATCAATGCAAGTAGCAAAAAATATACAATTCATGTTTTAGTACTTTTTTTTTTCTTTTATGTTCCAAGGAAATAATCCAAAGTCCAATTAAGTCAAAGGTCTTTCAAAGTATTTTACAGCAATGGTACCAGGTGCTAATTAAGACACATTTTACAGATGTTGCTTCATCTCACACTGTCACAAGAATGTGGAACACACAAATTGATCAGAAAAGGTTTGGATTTGATGAGATGCTGTAATTTTAAATACAGAACAAGGTAAGTTACATATTTGAATTCTATATGAGCACAATATTTCATTAGAAGAGAACCAATGATTTCTCTTGTTTATGATTTTTGGGTCCTTACCTGGCCTGTTTGTGGCAGCCATAATGAAAACCTGCTGACGATTCTCCAGACCATCCATCTCTGTGAGTAACTGGTTAACTACTCGCACACTGGCTCCTGACTTTAAAAGAAGAGATTTGTCAACAAAATTGAGGAAACAAAGGGAATGTGAAAATTTCAAAGTAAAAAGAACAAGGGACCTACTAGTGCCCTGCTTTGAAATGCTACTATAATAAAAAGTTTATTTTTTTATACTTTTAATGTAGCTGCATTCTGGGTTTCTACCATCACATTCTTAGGTTGTTTCCACCCCAAATTCATGCTCTCTATAAACCTAGCCACACATTTTAATATGTGGCAAACCTTTTCTTTCCAATTAAAGATGAAGGACTTAAAGAAGTAAATATAGATATTGATACTAATCATTGTCCCACCTGTCTCAATATGAACACCCAAAACTATTCACTATTCAGGTTTGGGGGGGGTGGGGAAGTTCTCCAAATATTTAGACCCCTGAAACAATACTTTCAGCAGCTGACCTACTCATAGTTAAATGTTAACTCCATAGTACTGACATCTTATCACAAAACTCAGTAGCCTAATCTGAATTTCATTCTAGACTTGGGGAGACAGAGAGAGAGAGAGAAAGCACAGGAGCTAGAGAGCAGGAGTTCAGTTACGCAGTAAAAACTGGTTGATGATTTTGAAGAATGTTGTTCTAAGCATTACTGTTCTATTTTAAACATACAAAAATATAAATCCACCTATAGATAATTAGAACATGTGGTGAAAATGCACATAGGTCTCATAGAAACACCAAATACCCCTGAGTTTCAATTATGAATCCAAGGATTGTCACCAGTATCACAGCCTGAGTAATACAGCGGCCAGTCTCCTGCCCAGAGAGTACCTCTGCACGGTTAAAGGAGACTGAACAGCAAGGGTGGGCTTCTAGGCACCAAGTTGCCACCTGCCGCTGCCGCCACAGAAATGAAATATGGTGAAGCCAAAGCACACCTGTTCCCAGCCCTTGGCTACCATCTGTGTCTATTGTGGTGCCTAGTACTAGACAACTTCCTTGGCTCTGTGGGAACCACCACCTCAGGACATTCAAGAAGTCAAGTGTGAACTTTTCAGCTTTCATAGGAAGTGAGTACACAAAGTCAGCAGAAAAGGCACGATTCAGAAACAGTTAATCAAGCTTCCTTCCTCCTACAGATTGAACTACAACAGTCCTTCTGTTGCAGTACTTGATGGCAATACCTGAACAGTACTGTACTCAATGTGTCTGCTGGAAAAAAGTGTCTTTTCTTTCAGCCATCAACATACGTGCACCAGCACTGTATCACAAAATAGATGCACTTCCTCTGTATAAAAAAAGAGCAGCTTTCCTTTCAACACGCTAACAGTTTGCACTAACACCACCCCCTGCAAAAGCTAAAGTTAATCCTAGGTGTAGGTAGTTCCTATTCCAAAACAGCAACAACAAAAAATAAAGACACAGAAAACCTCACAGGTGAAATAGCTCTGAGGTTTAATGCATTCCACTTACGCTCCTGCCTCAAATATTTTCATGACCCAGTTCATGTTGTTCAAATAAATACACACTTCATGCAAGCATTACAGTTGCATATCGGTGTCAGGGTTTGGCCGTAAATTAAACATGATATTAAACTGCATTCCTTCACACTTTCCTACAGCTCTACACAGCCAAGTTGGTGGTAATACACACATTCTGTGGACATTATTTTCTATACACACACACACACACACACACAAAAAGTCTTTATAAAATTTGACCAACAAATTTTTCCGCAAATATGAAGAAGCCGATTGGATTATTTTCCTTGGGTGATATTGAACGTAGTACTCTTCCGGGTACTTCTGTGCTAGCACAATGCCACAAAAACTTCAACTGAGATAATTTATTTATTGAAATATTTTAAGTTGGACTTACTTCACGGTCAGACCTCCGAGGGCACAAAGCATCAACTTCATCAAAAAATATAACACAAGGGGCTGAGTTCCTGGCACGCTGGAATACCTGACGTACAGCACGTTCACTTTCACCAACATACTAAAACAAATGACAAATCACAGTGAAATAATGCAAGACATGAAGATTTGCTTGAAAAAAAAAATAATCAGAGTTATAAACACTATTTGAGGTGCTTTGCAAGGGAGAAGTGCAAACCTAACCGGTTTATTTCTGGTAACAGTCTGTTATCTGTTTCCTTACTGATCATGATTTACATGGGAACTAGTTGTCACTAGTACTGCAAGCTGTCAGAAGTGAGCATCTGGAGTTTAATAAAATTCCAGCTTTCTGGGGAATGAATCTAACTTGCCATCATTCTGATGATGGGAAATAACAAATACAATCTTCATTAAGGACCCTGTTGTTCTTCAACTGTTCATAAACAAACCCTGTGAGCAATCTGAACACAATGAACATCTGAAGTTCATAGTCATTGCCTGAAGGCTGGTGGTAGCGAACTGAAAACTAAGCCAGAAAATAGCCAAGTTGTAAAGGCAAACACTTCATTTTTTTTCAAACAAGCATGTTTTGATACAATTTTTCTCTTAACACAAGTCTCTGAATCACAGCCAGACACTTCCTCTTTACTCCACGAGGGAGTAGGACTCCTCATTAAGTTAAGAGTTATATTTCCTGCCTGTATCAGTACTCGTACACAGTAAAAAAATGTTTGGGAAATGAATAATCAAATCCAGTATTTTGGTTTTAGTTTCCACATTACTGATAAACAGGTAACTGCCAAGGTCTTCCAAGATATGGGCTGCAGTCATCTTGCTCAGTTCAATGCATTCTCTTAACCCTAAAAGGGATTGAATTTATATTGCAACACTTCTAAGCACAGAGATTCAAAAACTCAGACTGTAGCACTTTTCTCTATTAACATTTATAATCTTTAAAAAACCACTTTGATCAACTGGAAAACCACATTGCTTTTAAAGGTTTTAACCTTTCATTAAGAAGCTAAAATAACCAGTTAAACATATTTATGAACTTGAAAGTTGAAAACTTAATTTTGCTTTGTGAAATCTGCTGATTTGCAGTTACTGATCACCAATTGTTCTCACTGTAGATTTGAATTTTTGTTCTTTTTCCTGATCTACATAAAAGCAATGACGCATGTACTTGGTCATTTTGAAATCCTACTTCAATCAAGAAGGCTCCATCTGCCAGGTAAATTAAACCAAGATAGGTACTTAAACTACCCAGATAGCTTTTTCCTTTTCATGTGAACAACTTAACTGCTAAAAACTTCAAGCATGGGTTAGAAGAGGTAACTTCAGTTGCACCAGCAACAGTTGTGTAATTATCAGGAATTCTGCTTGCTCCACACTTTGGACAAGAACTCCATAAATAAAAAAAGCACAATGAGTAGTGCATACCATATTTAGCAGTTCAGGACCTTTCACAGATATGAAGTTCAGTCCAGACTCATTTGCCACGGCCTATCAAAAAGGGAAAGACAGATGTGTTTATGAACCACCTATTTTTCACATTTTCTTTGGGTCTGTCCACAGAGCAATAAACAAACTTAAGGGAAGGAACACAGTTATCAACCGTTTGTAAAAATAAAGAAAACAGTAGAAAGTATAATTATATGTAATTAAGAGTGGGAGGTGGGGAAGGAATGTAGCAAGGTGTTATCTCCCTTTAATGACAGCCTTCCAGATTCACACCCCACCCTACTCCTGAATTGTCAAGAATCAGTGGTAGTTAAAGAAATATTCAACTACATAAGAGCATTTGAAGACAAAGATGAGTGACAATCTGGAAACTTGCATGATTATCTGCATTTACATGGGGAGGCCATAAGAACTGAAATGCTCGAGAAGAAGGAAAAGAAATGTATTTTCAGTAAGGTAAATATAATAAGTACATAAATATAATAGACAATTTCCAAATACCAATTTAGTTACAGTGAGATATTCCACAGAAGTGGTTATCTAATAAAGCTTCTTCCAATCTTTACTACTTTCTTCTTAACCAACTTCATTCCTTGAAGCTTTGCAGTAATTCCCTCTAAATTCAAGCAAAATTGTAACTTTATGACAAGAAAATCAAGTAACTTTAGCACAGAGCCCCAGATTTGGTTTTCTAATAAGTGGTGCAAAAGCTCAACTTCTGGCAGTATCGCCCAGACTCATTCCTACAAAAAGATCCACTTCAAGAAGATTCTCCAGAAACATGTTTAGAAAATGTGTTACCTTAGCTAACAGTGTTTTGCCACACCCAGGAGGCCCTGCAAGCAGGACACCAGCTGGAGTAGTCAGGCCCAGAGCTTTAAACTGCTCTGGGTTTCGCACAGGTGCCTATAAAAGAAATTACCATAGTTATCTGTGACAAAAAGCTAACACGAAACTTTTCATTTCAGTTACTATTGAATGAAAAATAAATCATAAGCAAGTTCTTTATTCCAGGTTTTTTTTAGGCTAAGAAAATAAACAGTCGATCAGCATCTTCTTATCTTGCACTGATAAATACTCCAAAATGGGGGAAGTATCACTATTCAGAAGCAAAGATTTTATTTACCAAAATTCGCATCGTTAAGGTGTTAGCGTTAAGTATATCTGTGACTGGCTGCACAACTATTAACCTTCCAGCTAACTAGTCTCCAATTCTGTGTGTGGCAGTTGTGTAACTAAGGTTATTGGTACAAAACTTTTAGAACACTTAAGATTCAGGAATAAGGAACATACTGAAAACTGAAAGCATGAATACAGCAAGTGAAATGTTAAATATATATGCACCAGGCTTCTAATAAATTCGAAAGCAAATTACACAAGTCTGACTATATTAAATGAAGACATCGCAAAATTTTTAGTTTGTCAGAACTCACAGGAAGCACATTATACGTTAAATAAATATTAAAAACCAAACGAGCACTGTTTTAATTCCTGCAGAGGGGCAAGTGCAAAAAAAACCCCTTCAAAAGTAAGGTTAAAACATACCAATATTGCCATAGTCAGCTCCTCCCGAATATCCTCCAGGGCTCCGATATCTGCCCATGTCACATCAGGAATTGTGACAAAGCCTTCTCTCTTGGCAGAGGGTTGCACTGATGACAATGCAACAATAAAATCATTCATCTCAATGCACAGCTTCTGCAGCTGCTCCTCGGGCAAGGGGTCTTGCTTCTTCAGCAAATCCAAAAGTCTCTGCAATTCATCCTTACAATACATGGAAAGAGAGAAAAACCATATGCACTGGATTAGATTTTAAGAATAATTTTTAAGGGCCTTTTTCAAAGCAATATTTTCTTCAACTGTAATATTAATTAATATAAACGAAATTATTATGTACAACACACATTAAATATGTAAAATAACATTCAAAATTAACATTAATTATAAAAATCTTTCAGGAAGGCACTACATACATTTAACACTTGTGAAAGCCCTGAGATGACAGACTCCAATCTTGATTTAGATACTACAGAAACAGAGCTATCACATGTATTTTGTCTTCAAATTCTTCCTACTGCTTCTCCCACACTGATTAGGAGAAAGTTCTTTCCATGCTGAAATTTCCAACATATCTTTCTGTATTAGTTCTGTTTTTAGCAAGAAATTGCTCTCAAGAGAAAGCGAGCAACTCTGTTGAACAGCACAATTTCAGCAATTTGCAGACTATCAAATTACATATAAAACTTTAAAACTCCTAACACGCACTTTTAGATTACACACTTTTATTTAAATTAATCAGATTTCAAGTCGTCAACTCATTTCCACAGGCTGAGTAGACCTGGTTTTGTAACCAGGCCCTGATAAAGTTTGGGCAAACAGAACAGAGATACAGGGTAATGCTTTCAACACTGTCCCATCTTGCAGACCACAGCACCCCAGGTAGGTATGTAGGTATGAGAAAATACTTGATCAAAGAACTTTATATTTTCACCACATAAATACATCAAATTATACCAGGATTTGCATCATAAGATAGAGGGAGAAAAAAAAAAAAAGAAAAAAACTCCATTAACTTTCCACATTTTTCCCACAGCAGTATAAGGGGAAAGTATCACTCCCTATTTGTTGCAACTAAGATAGCTCTACAACCAGCCACATAGAAACAGAAGTGTTTACAGTGCCTGATGACTATTAAACCCTCCTTGCTCTTAACAGAGCCATTAAGAAAAACTCTGAAATAGCTGAGGCCACTGGGTTTGTTTACGTGAATTGTGTGAATGATTTTTAAAGGTTTTGTGTGTTTATTTTTCCATTATAAACATAGTACAACCGTTTTAACGACAATACCTTGTATTAGACTATGTCAACCTCCTGCCAGTTATCAAAATACGGCTCTGTTAGGATTAGACTTCCTCATTCTCAGTAACCCCTTTGATCATGGTGATGTTGATAAAAGCTGCAACTACCTGCCCTTCCCCACTTTCTTTTGGCTACTTATAGCCAAAAGATTATGTTACTATAATACAAAGGCTTACTACAGCTTTTGACACTGGTTTTTGTTAATTACAGTGAGAATTTTCTTTGACAGTCCTTCTAAAACCAGAATCTGAGTACAATGTGGATTTTAAACCAATTTTTTTACTTCTCCGGACAAAGCCTAGACATAGGAAGGCACATACAGACTCCAGATTTTGAGAAGCAGGGCCAAGAATTTCTATATAAAGATGCTCTGGTTCACTGACCATAGCATGTCACTTGGGCCACAGAATAATTCTGGCACTGGAAATGCTATTTTCTGCAACAGACTTCCAGCTGTACTGCACGTTACCAGTTGACTTCTCTGCAGCTCAAGTCACATTGCTCACCCAACTTTTCTACTGGGTTGATACCTCTACCTCAAACTTGCTCTAGGTAACCAGATGACACATGTGATTTACCCCAAATAATCACACAGCTGGAGGGAAAATATGTATTGCAAAAATACTTCTAGACAGGGGCTAACTGTAACTATACCAGGTCAGGGAAGAGCCCCAGGCATTATAATAGATATTTAACTGAGGGCACAGCAAACAGCTCGGTAAAAACTCAATGCAAGTCTGATATTCTTACAATTCTCTTCCAGTCAATACACTTTTGAAGAGAGACCCAGCCACTATTTTAACCTCTGGGCTGCTAGAAAACAAACCAACACAACACAGCATAAACAACAACAACAACGAAAAACCCAAGTAAAAAAACCAGCCCACCTTGTATAAAACATTAACATGATTTTTAGAAGGTGTGGGGTTTGGGAGCCCCTTATTCAGACCCATTATGTGGGTTCACTAGGAGTTAAGCTTCTGGCTTAGGAGCTGGTATTTCTAAATCTAAACTTAATATTACACTGGCAATAGGAGTTTAAAGATTTGTAAGCAGTGACTTTCACAATTATAAAATGTCTCAGTTTTTAAGACATTAGAGGCATAAGCTTCAAGGAAAAAGTACCTTAGGGGGAAGTTCCAGTTGTTTGGTATCCTCTTCCACCAGGATGTCTGTTCCTATTCCCATGCTTTCTTCAGCTGTGTCTCCTCCACTGTGTTTCCTCTTCTGTTTCTCAGATTTTATCAAGACCCTGTTCACTGTGCACATTGCTGCCTCACGACAAAGTGCCATCAGGTCAGCACCTACATAACCCGGAGTCAGCCGTGCTAGGTGATGAAATTCAAAGGACTCTGGGAGCTTAAGTTTTCGACACAAAGTCTGAAGAATTCTAATAAAAAATAAAAAGAGGAAAAACAACAAAATAAATATGAAGCTGTGGGTTTTTTCATTTGCATATGAAAACAAACAACATTGATTTAAGGCCTCTTTCAGTTCACATGAACTGAAATAGTACAGCGGGAACAGTTTTCACTCAACTAGGAAGTAACTAACACTGAAACCCACAAAACTCTGCTATATATTTCCTTTCAGTTCTTAAATGAACATCAACAGCATGAACAAGGTAATGCCAATCAGTAGGTAAAAGCTAGTTTAGGTGAATCTAAATATTAAATATTCTTTAAACCTCAGTTTAGGATTCAAAATTGACAGAGTAGACCTCAGAATCTACCACAAACTCACACAAGTTATCCATTGAGATATTTAACCTTGTATGCATTGTATTCATTTAACTTGTGTCTGCATTGTCTGTTCCATTCCACTTTTATTTATTGAACACCCACAACAAACTATTCTGCAAAGGGCAAATGAAATCAGATTGTGTGAGGAGCTCTGTCTTTTAATCTTCAGTATCTTTCCTCTATCACTGTTGGTGGAATGTAACTACAGATATTTCCTGTGTCCCCAGTAAAATTTCCAACACGCAACATATAGCTTATGTGTACACCTTGTGTGTTTCCTCATTCAGAAGCTAAAGTTACACCTACCTATGCAGTTCCATCACTAACACAAAACAGCATATGTAACTGACAGTGAAGTGCTAAGCTTAACACTTGATTTTTCTAATGGGAGTTTTTTCACTCTGTATCAAGGCTGAAGCTTTAAAAACCTCCTTCAAGGTCCACCAAGACTTTCTGCTCTTCTTCTAAGCCAAAGATAACAGACAACTACATGAATAGTAGAAACAAAACAAAAAGCCAAAAGCCAACATCACTACACAAACAACGTCGCTGAAAAACTCTGAGCAGAGGGATCAAATCAACTTGTTTAAAATGGCAAAATATCACTTCCTTGGGAAAATATTTTAAAAAGGCAGCAAACCAAGGAAGTGAAGATGATTAACACACTTTATAGTTCCAAAGAAAACTAGTTTAAATTATTTCCAGACCAAGTAATGTAACTACAGAGAAGTTATTAAACTATTCATAACTCTGAAATTATATTAATGTTTCATCTGTTTGCCTCCTCCACTAACAGGTTTCATCATCTCTCATTTAAATCTGCATTACCAGTATTATCTCAGTTCTGAAGAACTTTTCAACCTGTTGCACAACAGCTGTAGCTAATGAAGTGACTTAATGTGGAAAAAGTTAAAAGCTGTAAATGGCTCATTCCAAATATGTGTCCTACATATATTATTTTTCTTCATGTGTTTCAAACATACACAAGAAAACACTGCAAGTAAAGCAAGGTGTCCAGGTACACATCCTCAGCCTACTCCACCCTGCTAAAGCTATAGAACCACATCGATGTAATTCAAATCATGCCTTCAGCAAGACTGATTTATTATGAGGTAAACTAGCACATGATAAGGACTTCCGTTTCTGTATGACCCTTTAATTAAAACAAAAACAAACAAAAAAGGTAACAAAACTCACCCCTAAATCAAAACAAAACAGAAAAGCCAGAGAGGAGGGATAATTTAAAAAAGAAAAGAAAATCAACAGTTCCTGTAAGCCTACACCTTCAGGAACACAAATACAATCAATTTCACATAATAGTATGAACAAATGTGTCTACACTCTAACTTGTGGACAATCTCTACCCACTATGATTGGCTTTCTCATTCACAACTCCTATCTTCTAAAACAGTGCCATTTCTGGAACATCATGTTTTTAACATGAACCTAATAAATGCTATACAATCAGAACTCGTATCAGTCAGCTCTTTAGTTCTGCCTCTAACCACTTGCATGAGCAATGCTGCAAGCAGAGTAGTTTGCCTTTTCAACCTAGAAATAAGATTAGTTGAGCTAGAAGTATCTTATCCTTTAACCTTTCTTTCCTTCCTGTAAACAGATAAGCCACAGCTGTTTTTATCATTCCCTTCCTGTGTTTCCTGCTGTTGTGGAAATGAGTAGCAGTTCCTTTTTAATTAAAAAAGCAAAAATTGTTTTTAATCTAGTCTAACAGTCACAGACCTTTGGAGTAACATGGATGGCAGCTCAGCTTAATGCCTGGACTGCTGTATTTCCACAAGGAATGAAATGGAATAATCTAGGCCCTGTTGCTTAAGGTATGTGCTCGAGAGGACTAATGAATGGGCTATACTTTATTTATGTTCCTAATTCAATAGTTATCTAGGGACCACCAAAGACAGAACATTAACTTTCCAAACAACAAAAAATATATAGTTAATTCCATCATCTATACTGTTAAGGCACTTGAAAACTCATTAACATAATGCTAAAAGCAGATATGCACACACGAAAGGAAACCACCCCAAATACAGACACAGCTACCACGACAGAAAGTAATGCACCCTTAATGTCTTCTGCATTTTTCAGTGTGTACTGATCCACAAACACACAATAAAGTACTTCAATTTTTACATTAGCTTACACATTATTTCCTTATTCATTAATTCATCAAAAAGACACTTAAACTTCCTAACACCTACTTCTCTCTTGCAGCTTCATCTGGGATCCCTAAACAAATTTCTCTATCAAATCTCCCAGCTCGCCTCAGCGCAGGGTCCAGTGAGTCAGGTCTGTTTGTTGCTCCGATAACAAGGACCTGGGTAGTGGCTGCCACATTATTCAAGTCTAAAGGAAGGAAAGAAGGAAGGAAGCTAGTATTCATACTCACTGTCTCAACTTTGTTCTGGTATCTGTGTGACTGTTTTCTGCAGCACACAATAATACTCAGAATAGCAGAGATAAACTAACCAACAGTCATACCAAACTATTGTTTAATCTTATTTTTACTACCTGTAATTTGCATTTTGCACAATCCAGCAAAAATAAGCATTTCAAATTACATTTGACACATTTTCCTATTCTGTTTATACAACAGACAAGCTTATATATTTCTGTACAGACCACTGTGAAAATAATGTAGTAACATCCCCTCAAATTTATTAGACTCTTCCAACCACACCTGGGTAAACCGTGCCAAAATACAAACAATTATTACCACTATCTCCACTAAAGTCACCACAAATCACTGCTGAAGGAAATGAGACAGTGAGCCCGATAATTAGAAAGTTTAGCTTAGTACAGAAGTTCCTGAGACTGACCATCCATACAAGTTAGGAACTGAGCAACAATCCTCCGCTCCATGTCCTTCGATGCCACTTCTCTTTTTGGGGTGATTGCATCAATCTCATCAATGAAAAGGACACATGGTGCACTGGACTAGGAACAAGAGATATTAATAATGACAAAATTACACTGACAGTGTATTGCATGAGAGAAAGAATATTTTTCACATTTTCTGTTCTATAATTATTACTCTAAGTCTGCTGCACAATCGACCAGTCATGGAACAATTCTGTTGTTCTTACTGACTAACAAGGCTATGAAACTGTGTTGAGGCTATGAAATAATTAAGGCATGTGATTCAAAATGTCTCCATATATTGTTTAAAATTTAAATGTACCTCTATGTTGCTTTATGTTTGCCACAAATATTCCATTATGGCTGCTCGTTTGCTTAAATTCAAAAAAGAAAATCAGATAAGAAAGGTCTGATTTGTTTTTTGTTTGTTTGTTTTGTTAATGACTTAGAGCTGTGGAATTTCAAGAGCTAGTATCAGTGACACACACTTTGAAACAAAAGGAGCAGTAGGTGGTCATGAAAAATGACCTGCCAACTTCAAGATTACTACAGAGCCTGTCCATGTTCAAGGAGTAAAAATGAGCAATAAGCAACTCCTGCAAGTATTCTAAAATTCCATGTACTTCATGTTCATAAAAAGCCAACATTAGTATACTATAATAACTACTGTAACTAATAGAAATGAAAGGCTTTAAGTGACATAATATTATTAATATTCTCAAAAAGCACTAGTAGTGCAAAGGAATACTCAAGGAAAACCCTAGAATCTTAAAAAACCAGTACTTTAAAACCCATGCAGTCTGTGTTTCAGGTGGCCACGGCGCCATCTAGTTGTCATTCATTTTTCCGCTACCTGGTGGCGGGGAAAATAGGCAACTAAGTTATGAAGATTCCACAGTGCATGCATAATGTACAGTGCAGCTATGTCTTTTTTCCCCTGCACAAAAATTGGTAAAAAAAACTAAGTGGAAATGTGAAGGACTATAAGAAAGGCAACATATTTTATTTTTAAATCTATTTATTCAATACTTTTAATTTCTTCAAAAATATCTTTCATAGCAGCTTTCCCTCAATGACTATACATACAAAAGATACGTAATTTCTGAAAACTCGGTGCAATCACTTATATAATTTTATTCTAAACAACATGTCAAGAAGGCTTTCTAAAAACTATAAGCTAGTATGAACTGGAAACATAATAATCTAACATCTTCACAATCAATCTTTTTGCCATGTTTAGCATTCTTTTTTACAGGAACACACTCTGAACACCTATAAACAAGGTGTGGGAGAACAGAAAAACAAAGGTCAGGAACAGAAAACTGTCCTCATGAAATAAAACACTAGCCACATACCAAAAATGAAAAATCTGCATTTGTCCAAATTAAAATTATCTCAACCTATCTGGTTCCCTTTGCTTCTCCCTAAATCTGGAAGCTGCACTAAAGCAAGACTTCCAACTGTAACTTGATGACTCATCCTCTTACGATACTTGCCCTAAATCTCTTATTTTATACCTAAACCACCACAGTCTTAAGTGTCTTGCGTTCACTCAAATTCCATGTTACACAAAAACAGCAAAAAAATTGTAACAAAAAAGCACAGTAAACTGCTCTTACATATTTTTTGGTTTTATATAATCACACCAAGCAGCTCCAAACAGGTAAATAATTTGCGTTGCTCCCTTTACATTGATATGATGAACTCTCTATTGTCAGGATTTCAGAATAGCATCTTTGTGCTCTGTGACAAGAATGAGCCTTAGAACAACGGCATTCTGGAGACACTATGACTTGTGTGCAGCAAGAGAAAGATTCACTCACTGAAATTCACTCAAATTCAAACCACAGCAACCAAGTACGAATCTTTACACAGAAAAGGACAAACAATTCAGTGTTACTTCCAAGGGGTGTCTCACCACAGCCTGCTCAAACAGTTCTCTCAGTTTCTGCTCAGATTCCCCTGACACTCCAGACACCATCTCTGTTGCTGCCACTTTCAGCATTGGCAGCTCAAGCTCCTGAAAGAGATAAGGAATGCTGTGTGATACATCCAGGGGTTAGAAATGTTGGCTGCCCTAGGGGACTAATATTTTCCAATACAGCATCTTTTACACCCAAAGATTACAGAAGTAAGACTAAGTCCTAAAGAGCTCTTAAAAAATATGAGTAGCATCCTCCAATTTCCCATTTAAAATGAGTCTGTGCCATTTGTCCAACTGAACAGTAATAGATACAAAAAACAGGTTTCCCCAATTCAATTAGAGAATTATTTCACTGTCAAATAGCTTTGCCTCAGTCCCCAACCCAGTCCTTCACAAGAGACATATTTCACTTTACAGCTCAGGCTCCCTTCTTGAGAAAATTGTCTATTTCCATCTGTAACAAAACATTCCTTAGTAGCGTGAAAGTGATCCCCACCAGGTTTGGTTCCCTCAGTCTTGCTCCAAAAATATCTGAGCAAAGACTCAAAATTAAAATTACAATTGTTTACAATTGTAAAACTCACAATGTTTTCTGCTATTAAAAATACAGAAATAAAACTAACTTAGACTGTTACACAGTAGTGCTACAGGTGGTTGCAGCCTATTTCAAGCTCTTTGAACTACATATAAAAAAAACCCCTAATTTATACAAATCACAGCCACCACAGGCACTACCTGGGGGTTGGAGGAGACAGGTCGCCTTAAATAAGTATTGACTGTATCTTATTCAAGAAAATTATTTAAGAAGTAGTCATTAAATTTATCTCTGAAAGTCTTTCATTTGTGTCATGTTTCTTCCCCTGTCTTTAGTAACCTTCTAGGATACAAACACCTGCTGATGTATTAAAGATCACAGATTCATTCAACAGGTATCTTTTTATAGTAAGGCATTAAAAAGGAAAAAACCCAAATCTTTTTGATTAAAACGTTTGACATATTGTGCTAGAAGGGTCTAACCAACATTTAAGTAATAAACATCAGTATTTTCTATCAAAGATAAAAGCTATATTACAAAAGTTCATAATGCATTCACATCTAAATTTAAGGTTCTAATGTGACATTTAAGGAACAACTGTATTAAAGACAAAGAAATGTGGATGGTTATCACTGAATAGCCCTAAATAGTCCCTAGATTTATATTCAAGACAGGAACAGAGCAGCCCCACCACACAGCAAGCTATCAATAACGTCATATGCACTGAAATAATTAGTTTGACATAGGCAAGGCAACATCCAGTTTTGGAATTCAGAAACTATTGTTTAAAAGGTGCTACCAAGTGGAATCAATGTAATGCCTCATAAAAGATGGTATGGTTAAGTCCAGACTTAAAACACTAGGGTAAATTTAACCAAAGATATCCTCCATTTATAGCCTTCTCAACACCCATGCCTATACTGCTGTCCTGGGAATGTCTCAAAAGAATTAATTCAAACATAAAGCCCTGTCACTATGTCCCCTCTTCATATGAGGTTCTATTAAGTACAGACTCAGACGAATTTAAACAAAAGAAGTGAAAACAAATATATTTTAGAGTAAGACAGGAAGGAGAAAAGAGGTTGAAAGAAGAGAGAAAGATCTAGCCTATCATGGAGGAGGATTATTTCGTTTCTTCCTAAATATAATTCAGAAACAGAAGAAACTGTAAATGTAAAGCTATCTCACCCCAGCAATTGCCTGTGCAAGTAGTGTCTTTCCACATCCTGGTGGTCCATGTAAAAGAAAACCGCGAGGTGGAACCACACCTAAGTGGTTATAGACTTCAGGGTGACGGACATGAATGAGCATTTTGCATATTTCCTGTTAAGGACAAGAAAGACCTCCACTTAAATTAAAGAAATTAGTATTTTAGATTGCCAATGTTATAGACAGGCCAAAATAAAAGTAAGTTCTGTTTATTAGTATAATTTCAGTGACTACTTTCAGAAAGATTAGTCAATTTTAAAAAAGCCCCAAAGCTTCATTGCTGTTGGTATAAGCAGCTATTCTTAGTGCCATGCAGATTAATTCTGTCAGATATCTGGTTTGTCATTTTTCACAGGACGCTTTATTCAGAGCATTCAGGGTCTCACAATTCAAATTTTAACTAACCTTTAAAGTTTCATCATTGCCTCCTACATCCTCAAACTTCACTGAAGGGTGGTAAAGCTCTGGTCCCTTTCTTCTAACTGCAAAAGAGGAAAATTCATGCAAGTTTAGACGTCGCTAACACCAAACAAGAGAAGACTGAGCCTAAACAATGAGCTAAGTGCATGGAGTAGAATTACTTTTTGGTAGTAGACACAGGACTGGAATATTGTTTAGCACAACATTAAGGTTAAGTTTCTTAACAAAACACTCGAAGTCACTTCTCTGCACCTTAGTGTAAAACACTTGTCTGGTAATGGGATTCCACAGTCAAATATCATCTCTTTGTTTGGAGCAGCATACCCAAAATAACTTCTCACCTTTCTCTTTAAGTAACATGGCATCAATTTCTCCATCTACATCTGGAAATTCTTCTTTTCTTCTTTTTGTTCTTTTACCCTTTGGCTTCTTTCTTTCACTCTCCAAGACAGAAAGTTCTGTTGATTTCTAGGGCATAAATACATAATTATAAATACAAAACCTTCCAAGTCTGTGAATTTCTGCAAATACTTAAAAGAAGAAAATATGTGTCTATGATGCTTAACTTATACGTATTATATAAGCAAAGACAAGCAAGGCAGGAATTTAACACCTTCCTTTTGTAGAAAATCCTTTTTTAAAAATAGAATTTGCCTTTTTTAAGGGGTTAATTACATCATTCACTTTTTTGCTAAGAGTACATATTTCTAAGCCAAAAAGTGCCCAAACAAACCCTCAAAACTACCAGCCAAAATCAGACACTAGTTATTTTCATACCATAGAGCAATCCATTTTGTGGATGAATAAAACTGTATCAATGTATTTACTCCAAGGGAAACAATTTTTATTACTAGGAAGTCATGAGTGGCTGTAAGAAAATATTACTTAGTGCTGACACAAGTTAACTGCAAATAAGAAAAGGACCAATATAGGAGAAAAGAAAAAAAAGAGGTTCAATGAAAGCTGGTTTTTGGAATTTTTTTTTGTTTTGGTTTGGGTTTTTTTTAGAATACGATATTGGAAACATTTTATAACTTAAAGATCTTCCTTCTATTCAATTTCTCTATAAAGAGGATGCAGTACTACTAGGTAAAATGCATGGCTTGTCAAATCTGCCTATTTAGAAAGCATTTTGTGCAATCAGAAAGGTAGTTCTTCTTTCACATAAAAAAGAGTATCCTGCCAAAATGATCAGTCAAACAACACGTAAGTTATCTCCTATACATAACTGGAAAGTTTAAATAGCTGATCAAAGTAGTTTCTTTCTGAATAAACAAAAAAAATTAGGGGAGGGAGGGAATCACAAAATGGGCAATATGTCTGGGATGTCTGGATGGCCTATTTTTAACTACTTTATAAATCAGTGCAATTTGCTTTCAACTTCCCCAGTCCATCCAAAAAACTTCAGCTTTCCCCAGGCTCACTAAGGCTTAACCACTGACTAAGGGAGATTACATGCTATGGCTACAGCAAGCCACATGCTTCCTGACTAGTTAGGCTGGTTACTGGCAAGTGGAATAAATAACACCTAAGTTCCACTTGTCTTTCAGTATGGGCACTAATCTGGGTCTCACTAATACTGAGCACAACATTTTCTTCAAAAATACGTGGAGGAAATCAATAATTTTGTGACTTTTTACCTCCCACACAATCATGCTTGAAATGGGCCAGAAGGTTCAAAAATCACTTCTGACTTGGCAGAACAATGTGCTAAACTCTTTCTTCTTCAGAAACCAAGCTAAAAACAAGCACTCCACTAGGGTTAAGACAACCTTTCCTTTCTATTTAACATGCTCACTGTCTTTAGACATGGCATGCATGTTTGTAATAAAAAGAATATATTTTAAAAATCCAGAAAGACAGACAGTCCTTTTGGTCTTAGTATCATTCTTCAAAACCTGTCAAATTACACAGGAAGTTATAATCATAGTTGCTAGTTAAATCACATTGGATTTGTAAAACACAATACCTCAGAAATCAGTTTCTTTTCATCTCCTTCTCCATCCTCTGAAAGGTCAATGAAAAAATCTTTTCTACGTGGAGTTTTATCAATGAACCAGCCCCCGTCAGAGACGCGTGTTTCAACTCTTGATCCAGGTGAGAGAATGCTCATTTTAGGTGCTGTTTGCACAGGAGCTGAGGTTTCCATTGGTTCACTTTTTGGAGTGGCAGGAACAGAATCGGGATTTCCTTTCTTGTATAAGCTCAGCAGGGAACTGTTCATGTGATTTGTAGACTGCAGATTTGTATATAGTAAAAAAAAACCATACAGGTTATGACTTCCATTATTTATATTAAGAGGCAAATGAAAACTACTTCATAAACATCATTTAGCATGCTCCCTGCTGGAGAAAGCAGTCATACATCTTCTGATCCATCCTCTGCAAATCAAATGACTGCATATAAAATTACATCTGCTGATTGAAGAGGCAGCAGCCTTTTCTATTTACCTGGAAATGATTCCTGTTAATTGACAGTTACATCTTTCAGTAATAGTCAGATATGTCAGTTCCTTCAATCATTTCATTCAATAGCCAAGTCCTTCAGGCCCCCAGTGTGCCTTCCTCAAGAGTGATTCCCCATCACAGAAAATAGCCTCCTTTTAGCTCTATAGATTCTCTGCTGGAATTGCCAACTCTCCAAATGCATTGCAATCTCACAACATTGAATTATGTGTTATGCAAATACAAACAATCATAATAAAATACAACTTACTAGATCTTCTGGATAATTGTCATAATCAGAGTCATCTGTGGCACTTTCTGCAGCCCTTTCCATGGAAGGAAGACAAAAACTATTAATATATCAGAGCAGAACAGTAAGAGAGAGACACAAAACAAATGCAGTTTCCACAACATGGTTCCCCACAACCATGATATGTAGCCCATGTTTATGTAGAGAAAAATACTCCTGACTAGCATGCTTTAATTCTACTACTATGAAGAATTTAAAAATGCATCCCTTCCAAGTCTGCAATGAGTTGGATCAATGTGGCAACCTGGCTGAAAGACAATAGTTAAAGAAGTGACTCAGTTCACCAAGAGATCATACAATCATCAATGCTGGCACAAGGGAAGTAGTATACCAGTAGTAGTATACTGAACTAGCCTAGTCCTTCTGACAGTAATGTCCTAATTTTCCATGAGACTCTTAATATCTATCACAGGGTGGAGAAACCAAAATGGGCCATGAGACTATGCACTGTGTGAGGAGTTAGGAAATCTTAATTCCAATCTCATAACCAGTGGTGATTTACTCTGAATAGCCTGTCAAGTAGTCTTATCGCAGATTTAGCTAATATCTCTCACACCCAAAGTAGATTAAGAACAAAACAAAGGAACTGAATTACATGAGAACTGGTGCCTTGTGTGGAAAACTATCAAGGAAGCCTCAAGGATATCCACTAATTCAGGGCTGTGTGCTCCCCATAACAGTGAAATCGTGATTGGCTCTAGTATCTGCTTGTCTTCAGTGAAAAAAAGTGCTCCCACTAACTAGAGGTAACTTCTGATGAAGAAAAGCCTATAGGAAATCAAGGATCTATTTGTAACCGTGAAACTACCACAATTTAGCAACATGAACATAGAAAGCTTTAAAGAAATGATAATGCTAATGGCACTATTGAAGTAATCTAATGGTAAAAACTCTTCTTACTCATTTTTATCTTGTTGTCTTGCTCTTTTTGCCACATGCTCAGCTTCTAAAACTGCTAAATCTTCACGTTCTTTTTCATTACTGATTATTCCAAACACTAAAAGAAAAAGTTCCAACAAGTTAAGAAAACAGCCAAAGCATAATCAAAGAATTTGGTGTCTTGCACATAACACTAACAGAACTACCTTTTTCAACTTGTATTCTAAAAGCGTTTCTTTTTCTTCTTCCATACTCTGCACTGAAAAAATATGAAAATAAACAGGTTACACCAACTGCTTTTTCCCCTCATCATACTGTCATTCTCGGTGGAAAAATAAATTGTAAGTTGATACCCAAGCTTCTACAAAAGTTCTTATTAAAAACAAATTATGTGAAAGTGTGATAGTTTTAAATTAATCCTGGAATAGCAGAATCACTGGGATGAAACAAAACCATTAAACTGTACTGGTCTCTAAAGGAATGTTTAATAAAAAACCAAGGTTCTCTTTAACTGTAGATATAAAGCAGCAGCAACGTACACATGAGCACACTGGATTCTATTTCAAAACACTACAGATTTTTAAAATTTTCATTCAAACAAGAACAAACGCAGGACTACGGTCTAGAATGGACAGTCCAGCAAGGAGTTCAAGTGATAATGACAGTCAGTATAAGAAAATCCAATCCAATGAACATCCTTAAATGCAAACAAAAATCATGAACCTTCTATCTTCACTTACTGAGATTATATTTTATTTATTTGTTTTTATTCAATAGCTGTCAGAGGTAAAACAAAACAAAACAAAAACCCAAGACCTGTAAACATTCTAAGTAAGAGGTTTGGCTCCCCTTCTCTAACAAGGCATAATAAATAGACTGTGCAAACATAAATGAATACACTTCTCCACCTTTACTAACTCACACATCTACCAATGATCTGCTGAGATGCAACCTTGCTCCCCAGCCAGAAAAGTGTAACAGCTTAAAAACAATTAGGCAAGATTGACTGTCATGATGAGCAACTGAGCAAGATTCAGTTACTGAATCCTGCATCTCCCCCATCTGCCTGCAGTGAAGTGTTACCTTCCTTCATATTTTAAGCTCACTGGGGTAAGGACTACTATTCTGTAATGCATCTGCAGCTCTTTAATTAAAAGAAAAACCAAAAAAGCCCACCCCCAAATAAACACAAACCCCCTAACTAACCAAACAACAACTCCCAAAACCCACAAACAACAACTAGGTCTTGCATTGCCAATGCATTAATAAAATATAAGTTACTAGATATATTGGCAGAGGAAAACACTGGCGTGGAAACGATTATCATTTCAATCAACCTCAACAATTGGTAATGAAGTTAACATAAAGAAGGTTAAAATTTTGATTCAAAATACACAAATGCAAAATAACAAAATAATATATTCCCTATTTTGAATGCAGAATATAAGAATACAAATCTTTGCTCACCTGTAGGTTTTCTGCAAATCAGATGCTAGAATTCCAATGTCAACATACTGGCCACATTTACTACTTGCAAGATACTGAAACGAAGAATTTTAAGTAGCAAATAAAATCTCTGTCAAACACATCACCAGAACAGCTAGATCAAATATGCCTGTTTCAAACTCTTCTTAGAAACTAAATGAAAAATCAAAACCAGCTTTGAACTGCCCTGGAACACACTAGACAGTATTTCCCAATGAAATGGGAAATGCTTATTAAGACACAGAGAGCTACATTTCACAGAGAAAAGCAGCATACTCTAATTTGCTGCTTCGGTGACTTCTGCTGGTGCAACTCTGTTGCTTTTATTTAGTCAGAAAGATGAATTTGTAACCCACACACCATCTTATTGTCAATCCTTCTGAAGTTCTTGGTTTCTCTCAGTTAACCTTGGTTTTTTTAGATCTCCCACTTAAAAAATGTAAAAATCTACACTGATTAGTACGGATACTATCTCAGTAAGAACTTGAATCTTTGCAAGATGTTTCAAAGAATATTATAGAAAAGTACGTACATCAAAGTGGATTCTATCAAGCCCTTTTTTTTTCCCCTGACAGAAGTTTATCCAACCATTATCAAAAGACAATTGTGAAACTATGAGAAACTGTACTAAATTTCAGGTACAATTGAACTGCATTTACTTTCTTCCCCCATTCTCCAAATTAGGAGTGTGAAAGAGTTTCAGTACTGTAATGGTGAATTCCTCCTTAAAAAAGAAAAAGGAGACAGAGAATCTCTCTAAAAGACATGGTTATCACAAATGTCAGAGCAAGGAGAATTTTGAAAATAAATTTAATAGCTCTATTTAAAACAATGAAATTGATTAAAATGGAATACAGAATTGTTTTTTAAAATGATGTTGTAGTTCACGTCATCCATGGGCAGCCACTGACCTGCAGAAGACATTAAACCTACCATAAATCCATCTGGCTCTTTCATTTCAGAATAGTCAAGACAGAATCATGGGATCTTGTAAAGGAAAATAAGCAAGTTCCCTCAAGCAGCTGCATACATTTTAAGGAATTAGAAGCAGAGTACACTTATCCAGAGAAACAGTGTTTAATTTGCAAAGTCACCATAAATATTCATAAAATATAATACAGTGCCATGCCACCTGAATGAATCACTGTCCTCTCCACTCTTCACACACATATTACAGAAGTAATGACATTTTTTCTCTTTCTTTACTAATTTAATATAATCGATGTACATGTGCCCAAATGTAAACACTTCCGATTTGCCTATATCTGCCCAGAGCGTGCATTTTTTTGACTATTCATTACACACTTGAAACAGCAGACAGCTGCAGGATCAGAAGAACCGAAGAGGATGGAAGTAACAAAACAAAACAAACAAAAAGCCAGCAGAAGGAAAAAAAAAAAGAAAAAAGACTTTTTTAAAGGCCTTATTAAAGCCCCAGTAGATAAGCCCGGGTTTCGGCACTCGCTGGCGTTCCCTCCCGCACCTGAGCGGACCGGATACGGATGCTCAAGGCCCCTCTAAGCGAGAAAACGTGAGCCCCGACGTATGGACACCCCC